TACAGAATAGGAATAATTTCTGGGTTACTGGCTGCCCTCGTTTGTGGAGATACGGTGCCCCTTCTTTTGAGCTATGGGGACACTTGTGTCCAGTTGGGCTGAATAGTCTTACAGAATAAGGAGATTAGTGTACAGCCAAAAAAATAACATAGAAATTTCTTTTCAAACAATTCTTTTTTACACCCTTTTTACACCTGGAAGATTTCCGTGAAAAATGAGGGTCTTATAAAACTAAACATGCATAAAATATATGGACTGGCTTGTGTTGAGCTACCATCTACTATAAATAAAGAAGGTTCAGAGTAACCTATAGTAACCTTTATATCATTTTTTCATTCAATTTTTCTGTGTGTATAGAAGGAAATTTTTAGGTGTGCCCAGAGTGGGCACACCTAAAAGGTTAAATAATTGATCGCAAAAGCCGCAAAAGGTTAAATAACCACCGCAAACCACCGCAAAAGGTTAAATAATTGATTTTTTAATACGCAGTGAATTTCTATGAACTGAAAGATCTTATGTCGCAGGGAAAGACAACATTCTAATAATCAACAATTTGAAAGGCTGAGCTAATCACCTGAAAGAACTGTGACTGCATGATGTAACATAATGTTATGCACAAAACTGAATAATTAGTATTTGGTATTCAATTACTAACGTTAAAAATTGTTTTAGTCCTCGCTATGTGACTCATCGGCCACGAGTTAATATTCACATGCTGAAGAAAAAAAAAGGAAAAAAAAAAAAAAAAGACTAACAAAACGAAATTCGCCATGTTGCCGTTTGGAATATAAGTTATTCCGTTAGGTGTAAATTGTGCAATGAACGTTGATATGTTTTGCTTTTGTAATACATGCAAGCTAATAGCGGCCGGAGCAGAAATACCGTACTTCCTCGCGAATTTTCCCTTTTTTACTGATTGTATCGTGCAAAATCAAGAGTGTAGAATTATGCAAATAATTTAATTTCCGAATTACACGGTTACATCAAAAACATCACACATGAAAAGTAGTCATGTAAAACTGCATGTATTTGTCACACAGTTCTTTCTTTAAGAATCCTACATTCCATTAAAAATAGATAGTGATGTTAACATTACAATATTTAGCAAGATATCTTCGTTTCTTCTTTCATGTAATTTGAATCTCATCTATTCTTACTGATGTTTCCTGATACCCCTTAAGCCTCATATCCTACATAAATAGTTAGAGAAGGTGACTGGCAGCGGACTCCGCAAAATCGTAGATTGAATGTCAGTTCAAATGTGCTTCGCTATGAGAGATCGGTTCTGAGAATAAGTTCACCATTTAAAACGCACATTTCCGGCATGACCTTCGCAAGTAGTATGCAAGGATTTGTCTGTGTAAGTAACATGAAAACCATCACTATGTTAAATTGGCCATTTTCGATGTACCTTTTCTCGAAATCTGCTGTAGATACACGCTGGAAACTTTTTGTGTAATTAAAGTACACATATCTAATTATACTGAAATGAGCTTCTGAAACATTTTGAATTTTAGAGTAATTTACAGAGTATTTTGTTAGGCATAGTAAAATTTAGCACATTTATCACATACAATTTTTTTTTAGTTTATCACAAAAGCTCATTTCACTAAACATTAGGAAACCTAATAAATGAGCCATAAAAATATTAGATACCTGTGAGAAGTAGTGCCTGAAAAAAAGTAGGTACATCGAGTATAAAAAAATCACGTTTAGATAAAAACACGTTTTCATGTAAAAATCCTCATTTATGAAAGTAGTCGATGACAAATTAAAACTAGATTTTTTACAGTTCTGATTTTCATAGAGATTAAAGAATGGTATTTTTAAAAAGATAAAAGTGTGGAGAATTTGAAAACGCAAAAATCCGAGAATTTTATGAAGATCTTTGTATTCCAACATCTATAAATTCTTAGAACCCCGAGTTAAAATACCAGGTAAGGAATACGCGAGTAAATACAGTATTATTTATACGATTTGTTCAAAATAAAGCACTGAAATCATCAACAGGCTATGTTTCATTTGATGCCGAAAAGAAATTAAGAATCAGAACCCACCAACTAGCGTAAAGATATTTCTAAAGCATATTCTACCATGGTATTACACTGTGGTAAATATATTTGCAGAATTAAATAAAGTATTTATTAATTCTTAAACATTTTATATCAATCGCTAATCTAATATAGCTTATCAGGAAATTCTTAGTTATAAAAATGTACTTTATGCAAATTAGAATACAATGCATCAAATAATTTCACGGAAGAGCTTTTTTAATTTTAATATTTAAGATATTTACATTTTATTGAATTCGTTTCCCAATGGCCTCCTTTAAAATTAAATTGTTTTCAGATAATCCATTTTTGAAATGAATCACTTGGATTGAAAAATGTTCTATTTTTCATATTGCATTTTCTGTAACGTTATTGATGCAAAAATAATATTCCTAATTTGCATAAAGAAGTACTCCGGAACAATCTGGAACGAATCATACTTCCATCAAATAATACAAAAATCAATTCAAGATACAAATCTACTTGGAATACGAAAATCTAGAATGATTACGCTGCATGTTTTCCATCTTTTTGCAAATGAAGCTGAATGCATTAAGTAAATGAAATTTAGATCTGCTCGACAACTTGCTTTCTTTAAGCTGATTTTGTAAGAGGAGAAAGGGAAAGGGAAGGAAAAATGGGACGAATCTCGTCTTCCATTAAAAAAGAACATTTTGTTACCATGAGAAGATATTAAAAGGAAGTAGCGAGAAATTGTTTCCATTTTTCTTATTTCTTATGTTCCACATCAGCGATTCTTTAACATTTCCGAAATTTTTTTCTTTTTCTTCCCTTCGATATCTTCTTCCTCGATAACTTCACTTCAATTTATTTTTACTCGGTCGTGGATCCTGCTGAACTGTTACTTTTCTACTTTTGTTTTCGGGTTGGAGTTAGAAGAGGACAGAATATGAAGCATTTATACTTTTTGTTTGCGCGAAACGTAATTTGCACAAAATTTCTTGTTTATCGTTGTTTAATCAAACATTTAACTGGTTCTTTTAAATAAAAAGTAACATTCGAAATTAGAATTAGAAATGTGAGGAAACCTAATTTTTTTCGAATTCGAATACTAATCATGAAAAATTTTTGAATCTTTAAAATCATTCAAATTGTAAACGTCTGAAATAGTTCATGTAAGAGCAATGATAAGAAGAAAAAAAATGTTCACTTCATATCATAAATTTCAATTAAAACAATGTCAAATATTCAGCGCTTGAAAGTAAACAAATTAAAGAATGTAATTTTCGAAATATTTTGTTATTCTATATATATTATAAATATAATAGCAATATAATAACAAATATATAAATTATATTTAATATTTGTTGAAAAAATGCAAACAAAATTTGGATAAATTAAGTATTTAATTGAATTAAAGCCCTTCAATCTTAGACTTCATTTTCTCAGTATAATCTAACCCCCCCAAATAGTATTTGAGTTCAGATTTTTGACCTCCTGCTAACTTGTATACATAACGAACTTAACATTTTTGTGTCCAAACATTTGATAACGAGTACTCAGTAAAAAGTATGAGTTAGGAGGTCTCCATGACATGTTTCTATTACTCTTACAACGATGTGTGTCTGTGTGTATGTCTCATCGCCTGTCTATCTCTCTGCTTGTCTGTCCGTTTGCCTGTGTGTATATGTTTCACGATTATTTAGTCTATAATATCTCTCATATAAAACTTCCGAAAATTTCTGTTTTCCGTATTTAAGCTATCTGTATTCACTTAAAGAGATGATTAAATTTTGGGTAAATTAGGCAACTGGAACTTATAGCAGTTTTTATTAGGCAACCAGCAATGATACTTTACTTGAAGCCCATAACAGTTTTGCAGCAATTTCTGTACATGTAAACCATACTGTTGCATTTGCATACATATGTTCAAATGTAGACTTCATATTGTAGCGTGCTTACGGGTTGATAATGAATTCAATGCACACAGAACCGATGATAGTTTGATAAAAATTTATTTTTACAAAAAAAAAAAAAAAAAAAAAAAAAATTACAGTTCTGGAAATTTCCACAAAAATATTCGTACAACTCTTCTCAGTATCACCACAGAGCACAATCAGGAGTTACTCTTCAAACTACTAAGAACGTTAAATACAGCTTAATACAAAGTGAAGCGAATCTAAACAGCGAAGCTCACACATTTGTTTTTAATATATTAAAAACACTTAGTTTTACTTAATTAAAAACGATATAAATTATATGTTATTTATCTGCTCCCTTAAATATAAATTTTAATTAAAAATATAGGGGCAATCATTTGATTCTATTGATATAAATTTGAAAAACTCATGGCAGATTATACCTAACAAAGTATAATCCAGAATTTCGTATTACAAACTTTTCTATTTATTTGAAAAATAAATTATGTTTCGTTTATAAACGATCAACACGTGATAGTTCTGTCAACAAGCTTCGAGTAAAGTTCGTCGACATTTAAAACATGAAATTGATGAGAAGTTATTTGTTTTATTTCTCCAGAACCATTTTAAATCAAAAGAAGAGTAAAGGTGAGAGGATTATTTTAAAAATTAACACAGATAAACACTAAATGTCGATTGTAAATTCTCTCAAAACAATTGAGATTAATTAAACATTCACTCAAACTAATTAAACTTGAAATGATGCTGGTAATCAAAATCAATTGACATCGCTTTTCCTTTTCAGTGAATGCATGCTTCTGCCGAATATCAATAAAAGTAATCTTTAAAAACTTTTGATTTAAAATGTGCAACAATATTTTAGACTGAGATTCAAAAGATTCGACTGAAAGAGAACGCGCGGGGATTCGAGTTTTCGAGTCTCAGATCTTCCGCATTATGTGAGGGATTTAAGGGTTAGAATCTTCCAATCCAAATGCATTTTAATGAATTATAAAAATGCAGCCTTCCATGTTATTTCATTCTAAAGGCATTTTTTCTTCTGTTTTAGCTTTGATCCGCCTTCAAGAGCTGCTGAAGGATCCAATGATTAAGCAGAGACCAGTTGTGGTACGTCAGTTTGAAGAAGACAACGATTACAGAAAGACGCTCAAAGAGTTGGGAAGAAAAGGCATAAAGAACTTTGTAGTAGACGTAGATACGCAAAATGTTCATCTGTTGTTGAAGCATGTAAGTAATGATCATTGTTTTCTTAAATCTCTACAGTTTATTTCAAAACTTTCCAGGTGTAATTGATTGCTAAGGTCTATGCGAAAGAATTATAAGTATGTACCCTATAACAAATGTAACGTTTCATCTTTAATATTAGCCACTTCTTTCTTCAAAATCTCTCTTCAAATTAAGAATCCGATCCATTAACCCTTAGAAAACTGAAACCATCGCTAACCTGTACGATAAAATGCCGAAACTTC